CAACCTTCACCTCCCAGGTTCAAGCAATTCTCCTGTCTCAGTCTCCTGAGTAGCTGGGATTACAGGCATGCGCCACCAAGCCTGGCTAATTTTTGCATTTTTAGTAGAGACGGGGTTTCACTATGTTGGCCAGGCTGGTCTCAAACTCCTGACCTCAAGTGATTCGCCTGCCTCGGCCTCCCAAAGTACTAGGATTACAGGCGTGAGCCACTGTGCCCAACCACTCCTGTGTATTTTATTTACTGCATTTCAAAACATTGTTCTGAGGAGAAGGAGTTTGTGGCAAAAAGGGATAAGAATCCAGGCCTTACTGGGAAATCCAAGAGGACAGAGCAACAGAGAGGGGTTTTTAAACGGCAAGGGCCTGAGCAGAGGTCTGCCAATTTTTTCCATCCCTGGAAGCTTTCTTTAAATGAATTCTTGTATATAAAAGAAAGAAACCAGAGCTACTCTGTAAGTGGCAGTTAGGGGCCAGGGAGCCCCACTGGGGTGGTGTTTCTCTGTCTCCCCATTCCAGGAGGCCTGGAGACATTTGCAGAATGCTCACGCACCTGAGAGCACATTTTTCAATCCATCAGGCTAATAATAATCATAACAATCATAATTGCCATCATATTCCACCAGTGGCTCAGGCACTGCTAAATGTGGAGTAGCTCACCAGGTTTAATCCTCACAACAGCATCGAGAGTGTAAGTGCTGTGGTTATCTGCATTCTACAGAGTAGAATTTTGGTATTCAACAAATACCAAAAAAGGACTAAGTTCTGGACACTTCCTCTGACACTTAAATCTTCAACAAAGAATATAAAGGGCCAAGTGTGGTGGCTCACACCTGTAATCCCAACAATTTAGGAGGCTGAGGTGGGAGGATCAGTTGAGGCCTGGAGTTTGAGACCAGCCTGGGCAACGTAGCAAAACTCCCATCTCTACCAAAAAAAAAAAATTAATCAGGGCCAGCCTTGATGCCTCACACCTGTAATCCCAGCACTATGGGAGGCTGAGGTAGAAGGATTGCTTGAGCCCAGGAGTTTGTCTGAGACCAGCCTGGGCAACATAGTGAGATCCCATCTCTATTAAAAAAATTAAAAATAAAAAAAAATTAGCCAAGTGTGGTGGCACCCATCTGTGGTCCCAGTCCCTTGCTACTTGGGAGGCTGAGATGGGAGGATGGCTCAAGCTCAGGAGTTGGAGGCTGCAGTGAGCTATGATTGCACACCTGCACTCCTGTCTGGGTGACAGAGCAAGACCCTATTTCAAAAAAAAAAAAAAAAGTGCAAAGAATATAGATTCTTGCCTTCCTAGACTACATTGGGAGGGGTGCGAGAAAACAAATAAATAGAAAAAATACTGAAAATGCTAAGTGATATGGTATGTCAGAAGTGCTATGGGGAAAAACAAAGCAAGGAAGGGGGATAGGGAGAGCCAGGGAGTTGCAATTTTAAAATAAAGTCATTAGAGGAGGCCTCATTGAGAAGGAGACATTTGAGCAAGAACTCAAAAGTGAGTGCTTTAGCCACGTGGAAAACAGAGAGAAGAGTGTTCCAGGTGTAGGGAACATCAATGCAAAATCCTGAAGCAGGAGCATGTCTGGCCTGTGGAGGAACTGCAAGGAGGCCAGTGGGCGGAGTGGAGGGAACTAAGGCGGTGTAGCTGGAAATGAGACTGGAGAGGTTACCTTGCCTAGGGCCTCGTATAGGCCAGAACTTTGTCTTTTGCTCCATGAGATGGGCACCATTGCAGGATTTTGAGCAGAGTAAGACCATGATTGCGCTGGTTTTGAATGAATCTTTCTGGCTTCTATATTGAAAACACGAGGGGAGGGGCACCTGGGGTAGGCAATAGTTGAAACAGAGAGACCTGTTAAGAAGTTACCGCAGCAATCCAGGCCGGGCGCGCAGTAGCTCGTGCCTGTAATTCCAGCACTTTGGGAGGCCGAAGAGAGCGTATCGCCTGAGTTCAGGAGCTTGACACCAGCCTGGTCAACATGGTGAAATCCTGTGTCTACCAAAAATACAAAAAATAGCTGGGCGTGGTCGCGTGTGACTGTAGTCCCAGCTACTCCTGAGGCAGGAGAATCGCTTGAACCCAGGAGGCGGAGGTTGCAGTGAGCCGAGATCGCACCACGCACTCCAGCCCAGGCGACAGAGCGAGATTGTCTCAAAACAAACAAACAAACAAAAAACCCCAAACACAAACAACAACAACAAAATAAGTTACTGCAACGATCCAGATGGAGAAACTGAAGCACGGAAAGATGAAATGGCAAAGTTAGTAGATAGCCCAGGGAGGATTTGAATCCAGATACTCTGACTCCAGCAGCCCCCTCTTGGCCGCTCCCTTCTTGTCTCCGGCCACCAGCAAGAACCCGGGTCTGCCCTGGGCTTAGGCGTTTGTGGTTCTCTCCCTGCAGGACGTGCAACTGAGGGCCGGGCGGCACTGGACATAGTGCACCCGGTTCGCGTTGACGCGGGGGGCTCCTTCCTGTCCTACGAGCTGTGGCCCCGCGCACTGCGCAAGCGGGATGTGTCTGTGCGCCGAGACGCGCCCGCCTTCTACCAGCTGCAATACCGCGGGCGCGAGCTGCGCTTCAACCTGACCGCCAATCAGCACCTGCTGGCGCCCGGCTTTGTGAGCGAGACGCGG